TAGGAGTACACATCAAAGTTTGACTTTGGAGCCCACATTGAATTTGTTTATAGGATTACGTCTCCTCCAAAGCACACGGAGAATGTCTGCTTTAAGCCTGACCTTTTTAGTAGTGGTTCTATCAGGGATCAGGGAGGATGGTGATACTGCACATCCATGGCCCTCTCTCTTGTCCTCACTGCATAATTAAACAATTCCAGGAGCTATCCCCCACCCACCCACCGTTCCTCAGATCTTTTTTTTAGGTTCACAAGTGTCTGTGAAAGGTATTCCCTTTTAAAAAGCAGATACTCCAAAGAATATACAGCACATGCTTCTTGCTCAGGATGTGATGACACTGACATAAACACCAACATCGCGAGGAGTTCAAAGGAAAAGTGAGGCAGCGAGCTCAGCGGGAATCCTCCGACATTCTAAACACTCCAACAGCAGATGAAACCGCAGGTCATGTTCAGTGCAGGAGCTCATCCTTCACAGTGGATTGTGCTGTCGTTGGGGGAAGTGTATGCCGCGCTGATGAACAGAGACGTTCGGCTGGGCTTTTCTTTGGCTTCCCACACGGATGTTTTTTGAAAGGTGGGTTAAGCAGTAATGAGACACCTCGCTGAGGCAAAGACGCATCAAAACACAACACTGCTGCTGGTTTTCTTTCTTTTTTGCTTTCTTTTGCTATACATAAAAGCTTCATACTTGAAATTTACTTGACATTAGAGAAGTGATCCTGCTGAGATATGCAGTTGTGGTGAAGCTAACCCGATTTATGCCTTTCAAGTCGTACACACCAAAATGATCCTACGCTTTGTCTTGCACATAACCCTTCTGCATGTCCAAATGAAAGGACGAATGCCAACAACCGGTATGTTTTCAAGGGTAGTTCCAATCGGTGTCGTCATCTCACAGTTTATTTTCAAAGCTCGTTCCATAAGTAACTCCTCTCAGTAAAGAACGTATTATTATTTATATTTTTTCTTTTATATTACAGGTTGTGGTGGTTTTTTTTTGAATCTCAGATCTGTCTTGTTTTTATTTCCCAATGCAGCCACTTTTAGTAGTTTTGTTGTTTAACTTTACAGGAATTCAACGCAACATGAAAAGAAAAGAAGACTGAGTAAGAAGAGTTTGAAACTAATGAGGAAACATCAACAACTGTTCTCCACAGGGAACCTATTTACATTCACCAAATTCTCTCAGCACACACATTGCTCATAAATGACAACTAATCTGGATTACTAGCTCCAGAATAATTTATACTTTGCTGAACCTCAATTTAATAAATGTATCAATTCACCTGACCTGAGTTTAACCTTTGCTACTGCTTGGCTTTGCTTCTCATGTTGGGAAGAGTTTAAAAATTTAAAATGGCAGGAAACCAAAAGGAATAAAACCGATGAGTCAAAATTACCTTAAGTAGAAATGTGAATTCATAGTTCAGTTTGTCTTTCTTTTCTTAGTTTTATTTTATTTTTTTTAATTATCATGGATCTTTTTAACGCATTCACTGCCAGCCGTTTCCTGATCACTAACGGCCTTCGCTGCCAGCGTTTCTCACCATTTTTACTGTTTTTTTAAGAGTCAAAGAACATTGCGCGCAAGGATTATGTCGACGCCAAAACAACCAAAACAAAGAGGAGACTCACCTCTTACATCAGGAAGAATCCATGTGTTTCGAACGTTATCCTTTCTTTAATAGTCCAAAACGATCTCCTAACACATGGATGGTCTGCTTCCTGATCACGTGATGTGTGACGTATGCGGATGAAGATCGGCTTCAGGGCTGAGATGTTTGTTCTCTCAGCGCGGGGGCTCGTTCTGATGCTCAAACAGTAAAAAAATGCAAATGATGACTTTAGTCGTCATTAGCAGTGAGCGGTTGGATCTAAAATGATGACTTTTGTCTTCAATGGCAGTGAATGAGTTAATAAAGTTCATAGTATAGTAAGAGTTCTGTCAGCACATTTTTGGGAAAGCTACAACTTCCACTCTGAATTCTTGCCGTCTGGTTCTTTAACGCAACGTAGGCAGGCATTCCCAGCAGACAACATTTTTCACTTCCTCCGGCCCTTCTTTTGTAGTCCTCAAGCCCCTGGAGGCGGTTCGAAATGTTAGATAATATGTAAACTAATAAGATAACTTTAGTTTTTAGAGAGCACTTTAGAAAGACTGTATACTGGTGCATATATAAAAATAAATAAAACATTTCTTCTGATATAAATTAAAGTACAACATTTACAGTAGTGATTCAGGGTGTAAGGCTGATTAGAAAATAGCTATTTTCGCCCCATTGACTTGTATTCTTTTTTTCGTTCTTCCCATGGGCCAACTGGAAAGGGAGGAGACTTATGCTTGGTTTATGCTTGACGCATTTACTTTCCGCTTGGTGATGCGGCTCGCGGATGGAACGCTCTTCACAACTTGCAGCGTTTATGGTTCATGCGGCTTGCCTCTGCGGTGAGCCAATATTCTCCCAAACTGTAGGGGGCAGCATGGAGCTCTACGGCATGCATCCAACACTACACCATAGTAGAAGTAAAAATGACTGTTGTTTACAACCCGGCATTCCAGCATTTTTTAACAGCATCCTCATCTTTTCCGACAGTGCGAGCTATTTCTCTCCAAGAATTATTAACAACATGTTGATCACGGTGATCTCTGAGAGCTGAAGCATACAAATGTCTGTATTTACGAACCTCTGCCATACTAGTTCTTGCCAGTCCGCCATGTTTTTCCACGTCCGACCGTCCGTGTGGTTAGAAAATTCCCTAGGTGCGCGGTGCGGAAAGTTTGGGCCGTGCGGAGGCACGGTGGAAGGGCGTGGTTGTCAAAATGATGCAATTTTGCCATGCGGAGCTGTGTGGACCTCGCGGACGCGTCAAGCATAAACCAAGCTTTAGGGCCGTGACATACTTGCTGTTTACCGACACGAATGCATGTTTAAAATGGCTGCCACGCGTTACTTGCATTGATTTGAAGCATCATTTGTGAACGGCCTTCGATATTAATGCATCTGGGTGCTGCAATATACAAGTAACCAGTAGGTGGAGCTAACAAAATGAACAAGACACACTCACCATGGTGACTTCTTCTCTGATTTAGAGGTCTTTCACACCATCTACAATACCGCTGCTGTCTTTTTTTTCTGTTGTGTTCTGAAAATTAAAACAGCTACTGATGTCTTCTATAGACGCCATGTTGGTTTTGGTTGTACCCACAAGCCTGGCTGAGTTCTCTAGTGCCACCTAGTGGACCACTCCAGTGCTACATGCAGTACAGAAGCAGCAAATATGTGAACAAAGATGGAGCCTGCTGCATGTGCCAATACGAGGTTAAACAGCAAGTATTTCATGGCCCTTAGGCTCCCTTTATGAACATGTGAGGAAGCTGTAAAGGATGTGGCTGCATTATTCATTAGCATCACAGCTAAATGTATGCATGCTTAGTGGATTGTGATGCAAAGAGGTAATAATGCTGGAACCAGTGTTCCATCCAGATCTAGCAGAATAATCCTACAGTATAATCTAAAAGAAAAGATGAAAATGTTGATAAAGATGTGTCAGCTTTTGTCATCTGCTAAGATGGCTTTTTGAAACAGTTTTAAAAGACTGATTTTGTGTGTGTGTGTTTGGGTTTTTGTTGTTTTTGTAGCTGAGTCAGGACTCTGAGGTTCAAAATGTCCTCCACTTTACTAAAACTGCAGCTGCTCGTGGGAACTCTCAAAACTGTAGAAACCGTTGCCCCTAAACAATATCGTCTTTTACATCTACTGAGATTTCCTGTGTTCGTGATTGGTTCTGCCGGTCACACGGTGATTTGTGGAACTTTTCCACACACCTGTGGTTGTCCACTTTGTGTGGGGATGTGTCCACTCGAAAGACAAACTCACCTGCACACCATCGTGGGTTTTTAAGGCAATACGTTGCAACTTTTTCATATTTTTTAATCGTTTTCTTAAGCCAGTATGTGCTAAAATGACTCTTTACATGGTTAATGACACCCAGCCCCTATCACCCCCTGTGGCCAGAATACCGCATTTGCAACTTCACTGTTGCTGGTCTGATCTGTTGGACTTGGAAAAAATTGAGAAAGAAGAAAGAAAGAAAACAATTGTTTATATAGCACCTCTCAAGATAAAAATCACGAGGCACTTCACAAACAACATTAAAACCAATTAAAGCATTAAAAGATTTTATAAAACGATTAAAATGTGTTTAAAATGAGAGAAAAAAGTTATATTGTGATAAAAATATTATAATGTAAGGAAAGGGAGAGAGAACTTGATTTGGAAAGAGGGAAATCAGTGGATCGCGGGGAAAGGCAGAATAGGAGAGCAGAATAAGGAGAGGGTGGTGACGAAGGTCAAGCAAAGGCCAGCTTGAACAAGTATGTTTTCAGCTGCAAGTGAGTTTTGAGCTGACATGCCTGGCGCTGCATTCTGCTTTCTGTATGTTTTAAATCATGAACACAGCTGATATGTTTAATTTAGTGATGAATCACTCCTGTAGACATTAACAAAGGCTGGGAGACATTTTAGCTGTTAGTTTAAGGTGCACAGCCAGGAGATTGCATTTGGTTCTACAAACAGACACTAGGGGGTGCTAAAAACAAGCTAAAACCTAATTCCCCTTTAAGAATGAGATACCATATTATGGTTACATCCGATCAGCATGAGTTAACCACAAGTCCTGCCCTATGACTCTGCCTTTTCGAGTACCCAGTTCAGGGTACTCCTGAACCTCCTGAAATGGCCTCGGAAATGGCCCTTTAGGGCAAGCCCAGTGAAATGGAGACATGCGCATGCCACAAAGGTCTGGTAAAATTACCCGAATGTTCCTATAGCGGATCTGACATGGCACCTCTGCAGTATGTGGAAGAGGTTCAAACAAGCATTCTCATCTAAAAGTATTATACCATGAGGATTGATGAGCCACTTAAAGGGATTGCAAATACTTTTTTAAACTAGGGTTTAACAAACCTGAACAATAATCTGTCTTTGCTCCCTGCAGGATCTCTGAATGCCTTGCTAAAGCAGAAGGGCCAAATGACCTCAGAGGCTCCTGTGTGGTCACTAAGTGGTAACCAAGGTGACCGTTGGAAGCAGGCCAAAGTAAGCATCCATCCTACATCGTCCTTCCAGGTGAGACAAAAAAGTTATCAATCCAGTGAGCAGCTGCTCTCTTCTTGCTGCCCTCTGTTTTCATTCCTGTCTGTTTGTAAAGTTTCTGTTTTATGGCGGAGCATACTAATGTAGCACTTCACTAGCTGTGACACCAGCTAGAGATTTTTTTTCATGCCCTTCTTTGGCACCAGCAAGCCTCATCTCAGCAAATACAGAACTTACGAGCTCACTCTGTCAATATTAGAGTTTCAGAAAGTAATTAAAATTTCAGCCGCTCTTTTCTTTTCACTACACTTGTGTTAAAATGTTCGAGCACTTTCATGTTGTGACATAAAATATTAAATCAAGCTCATGCCACATACTGTCATGTTTTGAAATGGGCAAGTAAACAAAATTACAGCTTTTAGCATCCTGGATTTTTTGTCTTGATTCACAGATGTTTTAGTATTTGTGTACTTGTCTACTAAAGCTGATCCCAGAATAATCGGTTGTTTTCTTTCTTTAAGGTTGTTCTTGAAGGTGTTCGCGGCCCTGGAATCGAAGGGGACATTGCCATCGATGACATCACTCTGGAGGAGGGGGAATGTCGAGACCCACCGCCTAGTGCGTAACACCACACGCGCACCTTACCCTTTTCTTTTGTCTTAATTCTTCTGCTTTAAGCTCCAAATTCTCTTTTTTACATCACTAGATAAATTTCAGATTTACAAGACAGGATCTAATCTCATACAATTGGCAGCAATGAACAAGCATCTCTTGGAGAAAACACGGTTGCTGTAGCAACAAGGTTGTAATCACATGAGCGATAGCCATGCCACTGACTGAGTGGAGCCCAATAATTGCACCTTGGGAGAAAACAGAAGGCAAAAACAGAAAATGGTCCACAGAAAAATGGCCGGCAATTGACAAGGTCATATTGTTAACCAGACAAACGTCGCTTCTTTGATTTAATTCCTGTTATTTATGATTGGAGGATGACAGTTTCCAGAAGCCTCCTTCAGAGTTCCATAAACAAAAACTGGGCTATCAATTTTATTTATTTCATTCAGAGGTGAAAAATTGATCCAAAAGAAAATCTGGGACAATAAAACCGGGACTACAAGATTAAATAAATTTTCATTTGGATCCAAAACGATTTACAGCAATGACATTAAGAGAGTAAAATATGTGGTCACCTAGGCTGAGGACAGCGGATTATGAATTATAGAATTCAATCTCACTTAATGAATCTTACATGAGCTTAGCTGATATAACAAGGAACACTGAGAAATGTGTCATAAGGACCAAAACGATTTCTTAAAGATGTTATCAAAGAAGGATTCAGAGGAGTTTAGAGAAGATGTTTTCTGCATGTTGAGGAAAGGGTGTCTATTTGAACACCTGGCAATCAGCAATAATTCTGCTTCTCAAAGACCTGTTACTGTGCCTTTAAAGAGTCCACGTTTACTCCACTTATTACTTTAAATTAGTAGCAGCTGTCTACACTTGTTAAAGACACCTGTCCACCCCACAGTCAGACTCCAACTTCTATCTTGAGCAAGCAAAAGAGTTGTCAAAAGACACCAGAGACTAAATCATGGACCTCCACAAGACTGGAAAGGGCTAAGGAGCAATTGCCAAGCAGCTTGGTGAAAATAGATCAACTGTTGGAGCAATTGTTAGAAAATGGAAAAGGCTAAAGATGACTGTCAGTTTTCCTCGGATGGGGACATGAGACCTCCCCTTGTGGTGCATCACTGATAATGAGAAAGGAGAGGAGTCAGCGCAGAACTAAATGGGGGAGCTGGAGCCACAGTTGAAAAGGTCACTGTTGGTAGAATTCGACACTGTCATGGTTTAGAATCATACGTTGTACAGAAAGTCCCCATGCTCAAGTCACCACATGTCCAGGTCCAGTATGTCTGAAGTTAGCCAATGACCATCTGGATGATCCAGAGTAGGCATGGGAGAAAGTTATGTGGTAAGATGAGACCAAATTAAAACATTTTGGTCTAAACTCCACTTAACTTTTTTGGAGGAAAAATAAGGATGAGTTGCATCCCAAGAACACCATTCCTACTGTGAAGCATGGGGGTGGAAACAACATGCTTTGGGAGTGGTTTCCCGCAAAGGGGACAGTACAACTGCACTGTATAGAGAGGATGAATGGGGTCATGTGTTGTGAGATTTTGAGCAACAACCTCCTTCCCTCAGCCAGAGCATTAAAGATTGGTTTCGGCTGGCTCTTCCAACATGACAATGACCCAAAGCACACAGCATAACTAAGGAGTGGCTTTGTAAGAACATAGCAAGGTTCTGGAGTGGCCTAGCCAGTCTCCAGACATAAAACCAAGAGGAAATCTTTGTGAGGAGCTGAAACATTGTATTACTCAGTGACTGCCTCTAAACCTGACAGAGATCTGTGTGGAGGAGTGGGCCAAAATCCCTGTTTCAGTGTGGGATAACCTGGTCAAGAGCTAGAGGAAACGTTTGATTTCTGTAGATGAAAACAGAGGTTTCTGTCTAAGTGAGAGAACTTGCAGATCAGAATCACAAGTTTATTGCCATATGTGTGAGAAATCTCAACATTAGGAAATTGCTGTGGTACTTGGTGCAAAAAATAAGAAGTAAGAACAATAAAATATTATTTAAAAGAGCTAATAATTAAAGAAAATGGCTAATATATACAAAACAATGTAGGTACTGATCAGAGCTGAACAGTCAGGAACAAACACAACACAGGGTCAAGTGACTGGAGTGGGCAGTATAGGATTGCTGTTCATAAGCCCAACTGCAGAAGGGAAGAAATGGTTCTTGTAGAGAGAGGTTCCAGTCTGAATGGACCATTGACAATTAGTCAACTACTCGACTACGAAAGATCAGACCATACCTAACACAACATGCCACCCAGCTCCTGGTGCAATCTACTGTCATCTCCCTCCTCGATTACTGCAATGCCCTTCTAATGGGCCATTCCCATCTTTACCGGGTCGGCTCGGGCCGGGTAGCGTAGGTTGTTTACATATCTGGGTGGCCTGGTATTTTTCCGGGCCAACCAAGGCTCATTCTCAGCCCTCTTCTCGAGGGGGTCTGCTTCAGGCTGACCAGGGCCAACACACCCACTGCTGACAGCAAATTCACACCTTCCATTAGAGCAAGCCTCTGATTGGTGGGTAGAATCAGCCCACATGGGCTGAAGACAAGGATGTGTGGAATCAACCGGGCCAGGCTGGGGCTGACTGGGGCTACTCGGCCCGGGCCAACCCGGAACAGAGGGGAATGGCCCATAACTGGTCTTCCAGGCTGTACTGTGAGACCTCTTCAAATGGTCCAGAACGCAGCGGCGCGTCTGGTCTTCAATCAGCCAAAAAGAGCACAAGTCACCCCTCTTTTCATTGAGCTCCACTGGCTACCACTAGCAGCACGCATCAAATTCAAATTGCTAACACTAGCATACAAAGTCCGAGATGGTACGGCTCCCATCTACCTAAATCCTCTTGCAAAGGCTTACGTCTCGGCCCGGCCGATCACAGGATCGTCAGCTAGCAGAGCCTACACCACGCTCAGGACAATCCAGACTCTTCTCATGCATCATTCCACAAATGTGGAATGACCTTCCAAGCACTACAAGAACAGGGGCTTCCTTTTCAATTTACAAGAAACTCCTGAAGACCCTGCTTTTCAGAGAGCATCTTCTTAACTAACACCTTCTCTGCACCTGTCCCCCCTCTCTACCGTCCACTCCTTGTTCCCTCCTCTCCATGATTGATGTCAAGTTGTTGTTGTTATTGTTGTTGTTAGCCTCAAGGGCAACATGCCAATTATCGCTTGTAAGTCGCTTTGGACAAAAGCGTCTGCTAAATACATAAACATAAACATTCTCGTGTCGTGCATGACAGTATAGCTTCTTGCACCAGGATGCTCTAATTAACTCATCATTAGCTTCTAGTTTGAAGTGTGATCAGCTATCGTTGTCGTCTTCCTCCGCTTATCCGGGTCCGGGTCGTGGGGGCAGCATCCCAACTAGGGAGCTCCAGACCATCCTCTCCCCGGCCACCTCCACCAGCTCCTCCGGCAGGACCCCAAGGTGTTCCCGGACCAGATTGGAGATGTAACCTATCCAACATGTCCTGGGTCGACCCAGGGGCCTCCTGCCGGCAGGACATGCCCGAAACACCTCCTCAGGGAGGCGTCCAGGAGGCATCCTGACCAGATGCCCAAACCATCTCAACTGACTCCTTTCGATCCGGAGGAGCAGCGGTTCTACTCCGAGTCCCTCCCGAATGTCCGAGCTCCTCACCCTATCTCTAAGGCTGAGCTCGGCCACCCTACGGAGGAAACTCATTTTGGCCACTTAATCTGCTATGTGCCTTCTAATGTGTGCCAAAGATGCATTTTTCAATTTGTAAGGGATAATTAATGCCAGAACTTGACAAAACTGGATCTAATGTTGAGCTTCTGTAATTTTCAAATAAAAAGTGCTGATTGGTGCCTTTTTCTGTCATTTTGCTTGGCTAAACAGAAGTTGTTTGCTCCCTTTCTGCAGAATTTCAGATCCAAAGTTTTTACTAACACAGAGAGAGCAGTAAAACCTTGGCTTTAAATGTATTGCACAAATCAAAAATTGAATTACAAGAAACACAATATGTCTAAATGTCATTTTATTTCTGCCATCAATGTTAATCGAATGACCTCAAGTTGTGTTTTTGCATCAGGATATAAGCTTGTTTTTGTAGTTTCTTCCAGAGAACAACTGTTGTGTACTTTGTTCTTCTCTTGCACAGATATCAGTGCCAATGCCCTGTCCACATCCTCCCATATATGGCTGCTATGTGCTGCCCTGGTGCTGACCCTACTGGAAGGTCAAAGGTGACCCTTCTCTTCGTCATCTCCGAGGCGAAAGTTCAGACCTGCCGTCTGTGAGCTAAACCCTCAGCATCCAATCACCAAAGATTCATGCATACAGAAAGCATTGGGGCCCCGGGACAGACCCCAAACCACAGGGGAGGGATGATGTTTATGGAAGAGAGCTTAAACATGAAATAATAAAGAAGATGGGATTTTTTTCTTTTCTTTTTGAAGAGACCTCTTTTCTCCTCAGAGCAGGGACTGGATAGACTTTATGAGCACAATAAGAAGGCGATGATTCAGCCTGGACTTCGGCAGAGGAGTTCACATGGGTGGACAGAGAACAGTTTGTAAAGCACAAGAATCATCTCACGACAACGATATGGAAAAAAATTTTTGGTTGGATAGCAGCAGAATCCAGACACTGCTGACTTTTTAGAAAATTGGAGGAACATTTTCCTGCTTCCAAAAACGTGGAATCAGACCTTTTCTCTTTTCATCTTTAACTCCATTTTCTTGCACAAGGTGCCAATCACCGACAATTGTTTTTCACTCCAGCCCAGTCTCTCGTCACACTTTGGCATTTCTTTTATCTGCTTGGTGCTGTTCTCTAGACAAAAAAATAAAAATTAAAAGATCACGGATTTTTGCAACATTTTGCTCTGTTTGCTTACACCCCCTGTAGCTGCCTACGTTTCCTCTATAACACTGTGCTCACAAGTCCATGTGGCCAAGCGACAGTCTGGTGGCAGGACAATGAAACTAGAAGAACCAAGTAAGTCAAGTGAAGATCAGGCTTAGGAGGTGAAACAAAGAAGAAGGGATGAGGAAGGAAAAGGCAAATCCAGTTAGTGGACCCTGACTCGAATACCCAGTCAGCGGTCTGCCGGTGGAACAGAAGCCACTTTACTTTCTGCCATGAAACAAAGTGCCTTCAGATTACAAACCGAGTCGTGAGCCTGAGTGTTAACCAACATTGAACAACTTTCTGTTCATGTTTCCTTTCGATGGGCTATTTTCTACGTTCCTTTTGCCCCACAAGTGCTGAAGAGAGAGCGCTCATGTTCCAAGGAAAGTGACTGAGCAGATTCATCACGGGAACGTTGCTTGGGGGGGCACTCCACAGGTTGGTGCAAATGCGTTTCAGTGTGCACACATGCCTGAACCTGTGCATTATTTACCATGAGGGCAAGCAAAGTGAGCGTCACCTCTGACTACAGCTTTGGAAGCAGATTCGATAAGTGGAAAGCAGTAAAAATGAGGCTATTTTAATTTGACTTTCTTTTTTCTCTTTCCTGGAAGACAGTTTAAAGTCACGCGAGAGAATAAAGACTTTTCAAGGAATGAATACCCCACTCTCTTCTCATAATCCCCCTTCCCTGTGGGCAAGCATTTTTTTAAGAAAAACAGAACATTGACTGCTGAATAAAACATTGTGTTGTACAGGAAGGAGAGCAGAAACTCTGGGTCCACAGGCTCTTCGTTTGGGTGAAATGCCTCGCCCGAATCCTCGACCATTTATATGGAACTGTGTTAACATTTAAAAAAATATGTATGGGAAAAAAAGGATAATGACCATAATAATAGTCAAGATATTTTATTACTCTAGCGAGAATGTTTCTCTGCTTTTACACAAACTGTGAAGATTGACTGTGGATGATCTACCTGAGACCATAACCTTAACCAGCAGGATTTTTTAAAAATGTAAAAAAAAAAAAAAAAGAAAATAAAAAACAGAAAATAAGATTATGAAGAATTCTGTTCATTGTTGGTTATGACAAATGTTTTGAGGACTTGTCTTGTTACTTTCTTTATTTTTATTTTAAATTTTTAAAGCTGACTTGAATTTATTTCTCTTCTTGTTGTCTCCTTTTGCATTGCTGAAATATCAAAGCTGACGGACGCATAAGAAGTAAAACCAGTTTGGTAAATGTAAAACTTGTAAATGTTAAAGAAGCTCTATTCAAAGGTTTATGATAAATGTTTTATGTTGGAGTACAGGAAGCACAACATACAGTTTAAATTCTCAGCATATATTATCCATTTATATTTCTTGGCACACGCGTGACCTACTCTCACAGATTCAGGCTTTCCGAGTTGATATTTAACAGGAAGTTGCCCATTTTCCACTTATGTTATTATTTAAAAATGCAGCCACAACCCAAAACTACACAAAGGACCAAGAGTAGAAATCAAACCTCCAGGAATGCGGTGATGTTGTGGTTCAGTGTAGCCTCATGATTAAAGCCTGGATTAGTCTGAGTAGGGTGTGTACGTGTGTGAGCAGAGAGCTGTGTAATATAGAAACCGATCCATGTAAAGAAGATAAAAAAGCAAAACAAAGCAGGATGAGAAGCATTTCAGGGCATCCAAACAAAAATGTTCTGGTCTGTTTGATTTCATTACAGAAGCATAATTATCACAAAATATCCATCAGTTTCTTTTCTTTGTGTCTTTTTTTTTAAAGATAATTTTCGTCATTTCCTATTTTTCATCTCGCGCTGAATGTAAATGAATATCCGAACCTTACAGTCTTACGAAATGTGATGTTTAATGAAATCACATGTTTTTTCTGTGTGCTTTGAGAGCTTTTCTGTTTTATGGGATTCATTAAAATCATAAGGTTTGTCTGATTCTGACACAGAACTTGATACGATGTCTAAAAGGCGCCCGGATGAGTCTCGTTTTGCTGCTACACCCTCGTGTGGTACGGCAAGCACGAACGTGTCCATTCAGTCACTGGTTCTACTTACTGATATGAGTTTATATATATATATATATATATATATATATATATATATATATATATATATATATATATATATATATAGTCAAATTATCTATTTAAACAACATTTAATGGTTATGTTAAAATTTAGCAGAGCTTTCAGCAATTTCAGAATTATGATGTCAGCCACCATCTTTTTGGAGGGAAATCAGTAAATGCACAAAAAACCTGGACATGTCCAAAATCAGTCCGGAACATCACTTTTTCTGTTTTAAGAGTAACAAATTAAATTATTTCATTTGTTGACACAAGCAGTCCCAGTTTTCCACTTTAAGAAGTTAACATTTTTCCTCCTGTGTCCATTCAAGTATGTGCTAATAATGCTAAGCTAATGATGAAAAACACAATACACAATTAATGTAACTTAGAAATCTAGATAAACTGTGGCAGCAGCAAAACACTTTGCTCTGCAGGTCAGTTTAGCCACTTTCCATTGTAGCCTCAGCAGGTCTACTATTGGCTCGACTAAGTTTAGGCCAGGCCAGTCACAGCACTCTTATGTTTATAGAGAGATGTTGAGCGGGATTAGAACCATTACGACAGCACTTTTTTGGTTTGCCTGTTTTTTACAATGGCAGAGCTGCGATGGAGCGAAACAACAAAGATGGCGATGGCTGAGGAATGGTGCTTGTTTGAAATGGATTCGGCATCAACTTCAGATGCTTAGACTAGACTTTTCTTTGATACATGAGCAGTTAGAGGTACGGTATTTATTCTTCTTCTTCAAAGTGTATGGCAGACTGCCCTCTTGACTGATTTCCATAGCGATGAATGTGTCAGTTCAATTCAGTTTATTTATATAGCTCCAAAACACTACAAAAGTCATCTGAAGGTACTTCACAAAGTAAACGTTCCAACTTAACCTACTTATCAGTGCTTTGAGTTCAAGTCATTATGCCAATTAGTTAAGTGTCTTATTTGAAAACCCAGCAGATTGCATCGAGTCACTGACTTGTTGTGTCAATTACTTTACAATAATCCCCATCCTAAGCAAGCATGTAGCGACAGTGGAGAGGAAACCGCCAACCAGACCTGGCTCAGTATGAGCAGCAATTGGCACAACTCACTGGAGGTTTGAGAACCCTTAGTAACTTGTTTAGATTATTATATGTATGGACAACAACTGAAGTAATCATAGCCTAATTTTTTTCATTTCACATAAAACCAACTTAGCAATTATTGCTTTGTTTTCAGTCATTTAGCAACACTAAGCTAATTGTGCTAAGCTAATGGGCTTTCACATCTCTGTTCATAAACTTTGTTAAAGACCTCTTATTTTACTAATGTGTTACTGGGTAAATTAATGCAAAAGGGACTTTTTCATTCTGGTTCGAAAATGTTCTCCTGTCACAAACATGCATGTTTATTTATAAAGTAATTGCTCAATTAAGAGCAATCTCTGATCTAGATGCAGAAACAACAGAGCTGGCAGACTTGAGGGGTATTTCAATCAATTGTATGTCACAAAGAAATGACAAATTATTCCATGGTGCTTATTATTAAATTATGGTATGGATCTTTTGAAGCAGGAGGGTTCTGTTGAAATGTTACAAACAAACGTTTTTTGATTGAACAGACACGCTAGCAGATATGGGGCAGCTACAGAATGTCATTTTAAATGTCTAATATCATAGATTTCATGATATTTCATACAAATGTATTAGAATATGTTTTCATTGCAATAAATTTCAGATTTCATGTAAATTCCAACAGATTTAACCCTCTGAGGGCCGTCCAGCTTCAGAGCCCAATGCTGCACTCCTTGCAGATCTAAGAAGTGATTCTTTTGCACAGAGTGCACCTTTTCCACCCCTGGCTTGTCAGTGAAGGGAAGATAAAATGTGGTTGTGATGGAAAAACTGTTTTGTCCACGCCTAAATCCTCCTCAATGAATCTAGAGGGATGTTCTATCTTTCTGGAGGATTTTCTGAATGATATTCCTTCTATTATTTACAAAATATAACACAAATCTAATATATGACTAAAAACTTCTGGAAAACACAACTGAAAAAGTAAACTACGGGTGAAAAAACTGAATAAATATGGCAAAAATGCTCTAAATGTCAGAATCTATACCAGTGGTGGCAGGTGGATTTTTTTTATTTCTTTTGTGGGTGCATTTTAACTACATATCACCATTAGGGGATCCCAAATTACCATTCTTATGATTGAATGCACTGTCCACATTTTCTACTTCAACAATGACACTAAATAAAAAGGCTGAAAAAAGCTAAATACACATATCGAGAAAAACACAACAATGCAACACGATCCTATCCTCAGAACAACTGTATAAATTAAAAACCAGACACCCCTACTTTACAAAATAAGTATCTTTTTTTTTCTTCTGGCTCTTGGAGGGTGCAGACGCTTCTTTTCCTCCTCCCCTCCATATCTTATCCTCAAGGCCTTTGTCTGTCTCTGTGTGCTGGGTGCACGGCTGCTTCTGGATTCTTCTGGAAACTGAAATACATTTAAATGGATCTCGTTAGCTGGTCTCTCAACGCGATTGATAAAATGTTTTCAACGATGAGAACGGGAGAAGGGGCTCCCGGATGCCCTGCCGATACAGACCCAGTTGGATACATCATGGACTCCTGGAAACAGTGGAACTTGATTTGTTTATCTCAGCTGTCTTTGGAGGACTCTGAAGACGTGTGGATATTCGTGGTGTTGGTGTCAGGTTTCCTGCTCATTGGCCTTGGAGGCTACCTGGCTTACCGGAAAATTAACGAGCTGTCGAGGAATATTGGCCTGATCCCGGAGCTCAGAGATGGTTTGCACCACACTGTGAATTCACAGACTCGCATAATTGTTGAGATGAATCGTAAGCTTGGGACTTTGGCGGAGATTCATTCTTTGGCACAAAAGATGGATGCCATCAAGGAGAGAGTGGACGAATAGATAGATAGATTAACGTCCATTATTGGGATTCGGAGAGGTGAGGACCAGCAGACTGTAAGACAGAGAGGAAATTATCTCTGTCTGGCCCCAAAACAATTTCTAACCGGAATCTGGCGTCCTTGAGCCTGCAAGACTCCAACAAAAACTCCCCCCTCAGAAGATATGTGGAATGTGCCGTCGCTATGGCAACTAAACTCTGCCTCCTTTCCCAGATTGGGCGGGACAGCGGGAAGGCCGCTGAAGCATCCAGGGTCACTGCAACCCTCCAACCCTCAATGCTCCTCCCCCTATCCACACTGAGGTGACATGCGCTGCTTATCGTGGCTGCAGGAGCTGAAGCTGGGATAGTCCCAACCTACCACCCCACCTAGTGGACACTTATGTTGTGTTGTCTGAAGTCTGTTGCATATCTGTCTGAGGTGTTTTTTGTTTGCAGAGCAAAGCTGCCCTCCCTGTGGAGGGTCGCTCTGAAGTGCCTCTTTTATTTCCTCCACCTGAACCAATCATCATGTAACCCTCTTATCTCTATTAAGGTAGCGTGACTCAGGGTTGCGAATGACCACAGCCACCAATTCTTGTCATGTGTCTTTGCCTATGTATGTCTGATCTCTGAATTGTGTGTACTGAAACTCTAATTTCCCTCTGGGATTAAAAAAGTATCTTTGATTGATTGATTTGATTGATCATTACTCTAGCTGCAAAACTCACGGTCCTCAACAGAGGAACAAAGCTAATTTCATGAAATAAAACGCGCAAATTCAGTTTTACCTTTGCTGCTTTATGGTCAGAATAATCCGTTATAGTAAAAAAAAACACTTGGTTCATGTAATCCAATGCCCCAACGTCACACTGAGGTGATTCTTTACTGTATTGTGCGTTTTTAACCAGCTGGAGAGTGTTCACAAGTCTCTCGTGCCACGTTCCATCATTTCCAGGTTGTTCATAATTAAAAAACTCCACGAGGTATACTCGTGTACTCCTCTACAACAAAGAACAGTGAGCTAAAATAAGAAAAAAGGAAAAAAGGAACTGTGAGCTGTGGAGAGCTTCTAGTTCCGGGTGAACATCCTGGTCTGAGCTGAGACTCCACCCGGTTTTGGTCACAGTACCTCTGTGCCCAAAGGCTCTCCTATTCTTTGTATTGGAGTGGGGATTCAGAGCACATGCGCCAGTAAGCATAGGTCAAAGGAACAAGACGATTCAGTTGTGGTAAAAGTGCGAAATAACATTTTTAACTACAAATAAATGCAGATTAAACACAGCACTTAAAGTCTTTATGATGTTTGAATTTTCATGTTGTTTTTTTGTAATATTTTGCTATATATATACATATATTTATATATATATATATAATATATATATAATATATATATATATATATATATATATATATATACATTCAGTTTGTGCTGTCTCATCTTAAAAGCTGTATTTTCCACTTCCTCCAACACGAATGAAGAGTGCAGCTATGCATGAATGTACCCAGTGCTTACCTTAATGCTGTCAAATTGGGAGCACTGCTCTATTTCAAAGATGAGATCTGTCATCATTTTTTTATTCAGGCAACAGATTGAAAATAATTACTGCAACATGAAATATGTTGAAACAATTTACCAGTTATCTGGTAAGTGTGATTAAATTTATCCATGTGAGCAGAACCATGGCCAGCTGCTGTGGGACAAAATGTAATTTATAAGGGAGCTTTGCCTTAATTCCTAAAAGTGCATACCTTGTAGGAATTATAAAAGTGCACGCTGTCACAGATTTGCTTTAAGAAGGGGGCGAGTGACTAAATAAGTGACATTTCCCTTTGTCGTTCAGTTCAGAACTTTTTTTGTTATCTTAGTAGTTGTACTAGATCTTTTGCTTCAGATGTGTGAAAGACACAGTTTTAATTTGTATTTATGAGTAAAAAAATATCTCATGCAAGGGCTTTTTCCACTTTGTGCCATCTATCACCCCCCCCCCCCAATTAAAACTCTTCCTATGATGTGATGAAATTACAGCCATTTTTCTCCATTTCATCTGTTTACAACTTTATTTTCTTCACATTATGTCAGTGAAAAGGTGCATGCAGCAAAATTGTCCTCTACAGTGAAATAATTTCAAATAGTTTAAAAAGGAATAAATTGCTATATATATATATATATATATATATATATATATATATATATATATATATATATATATATATATATAATCAAGGTTATTGCCAGTAATGTTAAGGTTATTGCCAGTAATGTTATTTCTCCTGTTCTGTGCAGACTTCCTGTAATGACGACCTGTCCTTCTTCTCTGTCTTGTTCTCTATATCTATCTATATATATCTATCTATATATATCTATATCTATATCTATATATATATATATATATATATATATATATATATATATATATATATATATATATAGATATATATATATATATATATATATATATATACGTTATTTTATTTAATTTTTTATTTTGAAAAATGTCTATTTTTGCAGTTTTAGAGGATTAGAATAACTCATTTTGATGCAGTAAGTTTCACCTGACTTTGCTGCGTCTCGCTGAAGAACTGGGAAAAGACATACATGTTTTCTGGGATTTCAGTTTTCACAGTCAGGAGGAAGCCGTGTGTCGCCGTTTGATGCACGGCTGCTCAGTGGGAAAACGTCAGTGGAAGAGAAAACTGCCATCTCTCAGTACACTCACTTCCTGTTGTTAGAGTGAAACTTCTTTGCTTTTTTAGTTTTCCTTCACCTGCTTGGACCAGGATGCAGAGGCCAAGCAGCGGGAATGTTTGCATAAAGATTCCAGCTCTTACCCTCTCAAAGTAAGGTATAAATGAATATTTTTTAAGTCACTCACAAACCTCCAACCTGCTCACTGTCAATATTTTAGACTATTGAAGATCTAAATATTAAAGTCAAGGTTATTGCCAGTAATGTTATTTCTCCTGTTCTGTGCAGACTTCCTGTAATGATGACCTGTCCTTCTTCTCTGTCTTGTGCTCTATATCTATGTGTGAATGATCAGGCTTCTTATTCATTGTATTTCTATTATTTGTGCCATATCTGCAACTAATGAAAAAAATAATAAGTAAAGAAAATAAATATCTTATGAGCAATGTCAGTTCAGTGTTAAATTTTACAATCTGACTGAACAGGAGAAACGAACAGAAACCGCACAAAGCTGCAATAAAGATTTGAGGAAGTTATATAAGTTTGATACATATTTGAATATAAAAAAAATTTCATTTTATTTTAACTTAAGATTATTTCGCTTATTTTTTATTTAATTTTGGCTTTTTAACAACCTCAGTTAGGACAAATACAAATGATCTCTGACCAGATTGACAAGCTACTGGCTAGTTTAAGAAAAGTCAGTTTCAAAGTAGAGAACTACTGGTTTAAAGAAACACTTAGCAACTTTTTTAGATTTAAAAAAAAAATTTGCACCAGTATGTGCTAAAATGACAAGGCATGGGTGGAGACTTATTTCATCCACACTTCCTGTTAGAAACGCTTCAGAAAGAGGCGTCGCCTGCTGCACCGAGCGAACGGCACTGAGGCAATGATAGATAGTGCCCCCTCAACCCCCTGCGTGTGCTATCGGAGTTTCGCGGACAAAAAAATG